AAGATGCCCCAATAAGTTACAGGCATTGTTTATAGTCGAAAATATTTTTCTCATTTTATTTCGCGTGCCCTAGTGAGAAGGAGAAACTCCACAATATTATCTCAAAATGATTTGTAAGAAAAAAGACAAAAAAAAAAAACCCTAAAACTAGGCACATTAGGTGTGATGTTGTGAAGCTATCCCACCGGTCAATTTGAATTGGATGGCTAAGAATAGAAGTCACATATGTTTTTATATGTGGGTGGTGCCACATAGAAAGGTACCCCTTTCCTAAAAGTACAAAATAGAATCGTTCTTGTTAGGATATAATAGAGCAAGCCCAATCCATTCCATGAAATCACCATGCAGTCTTTGTCAAACATATAAGCAACAATATTCATAGGAAATTTCATAGCTTCACATACTTTGGTAAACAGGAATAGTTAATTGGCAATATCTTCATGCTTCTTCGCAGTCCTTTAGCTCCATCAGTATCTGTGGGCATATCAAAATTAACGTAAGTTATTAAGTCCAACAAGAAAATAAAAGGTTACGTCACACTAACAAGAATGAGAATAATACAAAAAATGATAAATCAATGAGTAATTAAAATGAGTTGTAAGAATTAATAAAAATGAGTATCTATAAAAATAAGTTCTTTCTCTTTGATAACTAAGTACTGATTCAAGAATCAAGAATGACAATAAAATAAATCAAACAAGGGAGTAATGACTAGCTTCTCTTTCGTTTATAGGTACAAGAAATCAATATATTTTTATGTTGCAGCTGTTAGATGGATATTGACCATGTTTTTATGAATGAAGCTAAGCCATTGCCATTTGGAACTATGCTTAATTCATAGTTAAATTATATTAACAACTTAATAACTGATGAAAAGATATAAAAGGAATAACCAATAAAGGACTGGTACCATTACAAGGGTCTCCCGAGTTCGCATCAAACCAATTGAGAGTGGATGGTATAGTTCCATTTGTTGTTGATCAATGATCCGATACAAATTGCAAGTTCAGAATACTCTGATTTGGTCAAGGGGTCAACATTCCAGTGCATGATCTTGGCTTTCATTCTCATCACACAAAGTTCCAGACACAATGACTTTTATCAAGTGAAACACTGTATGTGTGTGCATGTGTGTGTATATATATATAGCAGGAGTATATACTTATCAAATACAATGACAAACAATTTTATCAATTGGAAGATCGCAACAGATAGTTCAGCGTAAAAAGAATATAGGAAGTTATAGTAGTATCTTATATTAATGAGATTAATAAATCTATTAACTTTCAAAAAGGATACTTCCAGAGGAGACGAATTTAGAAGCATAATCTAGTTTCTCTTCCACTTCTTCTTTCCTCTTTCTTGTCTTGCACTCATTGCTAAGAAGTCCACAACGTTGACAAGTAAAATTCTTACCATCTGCACTGGATCATAACATAACCAGGAAAAGTACTAGATGTCAACCATGGGAAAAAAAGCTTAGCCATATTTAATGAAGCTGCTTAGCATTTTAATAAGTCATTTTTATTACCTACAGGGATTTGGTAGCAGAAAACCATCACACTGGTCATTTATGCATCTAAAACCTTCCAAAAGGGCACTCTCTTTCAAGTCATCATCAGAGCCCTTCAATATTGAAGCCACAAGTCATTTGCATCCATCCATGAATCAGGAAAATTGTTAGGACAGCGCATTGTACAGTTCATCTTGACAATGGATGGCTGAGGTTACATTCAGCATCTTGACAACCATCCATTGTAAACAACAAATTGTAGAGATGAACTTCTACTCTTTCAAGCAGCAGAGATCTTGACAATGGATAGTTGAGGTAACATACAGCATATCGCTTGCATGCTGCATTTATCATGGTATACTTCCATAAAAGTGTGCAAGCAACAAGAACGGTAAAATTATACCACTTTAATGCAACGTAAAGACGTGCAATTGAAGAGGTATTGCTCTTTGAGAGCCTTCCTCCGAGTCTCAGTGCTTCCAGCAATTTCAATGTAACTTATCAGGACCTTATGAGACAATTATAAATGAAAAAGTTAGGCAAAGAGCAACTAAAGAAGTTAAATAATACAGCACATAATGCACTAAACTAAAGGTATGCAAACATATATAAGTAAATGCGTAAAGTCTCATACCTCAGCACCTTTAGGTATAGCTTCCATAGCACGAATTACTGCTAACTTTCCTTCAAATAGAAGTACCGAGTTTGGTGCGCAGCTGCAACTCCAAGTAATTCAGCCAAGAAAACTATATCCAATAAGGTAACAATGGCTTTTTTGAATGAAACAAGAAAAAAAAAAGGATCACGAAAAGAGGTTATAAAGCTAAAGAAAGATATTATCCTCTAATATGGATCAATCGTCAAACAACAAATGTTATCATTACCTATGGTTTATGATAGAAATCACAGGATATATCCCTGTTCCCAAGGGTCTCAGTTCACTGTCACAAATTGTATGGGCATTGCACACCAACTGCAAGAAAGGGAAGTAGGGTCAAGAACATTTCAGTAAAACAACCAAGTCTTCTTCACCTACATTCATACAACTTCAATCAAGAGAAAGAAATTAAGGCTACATTAAATCTTCTATCATTTTAGATATGTATCGATGCAGTCCTGCAAATGTCAACTCCAGCACATGATTTTTTTATTTTATTTTTTTACCATTCACGAGTACTGTTCAAGGGTATTGTTCATGAATTAGTGTTCATAGGGGTATTTCTGAAATTTTAAATATTGTTTAGGGGTGTTATGGAGTTTTCTAGAATTGTTTGGAATTTATTAATTAGTAAGAGTAGTTTGGTGTTTTATTATAACTTAAGGTTTAAAAGAGTAGCTATTTAAAACTTTGTAAAGTGGTTAGCAAGTAGTTGCTGATGTTATCATTGTAGATAGATTTTTTTGCATTGAAGCCTTTTGAGCTTTGCTTTTATTGAATCTATCGAATTTCAAGTCCTAGTTTCTCTTCGATATTGTCCATCCAAACTTTGTGCTTCGTCAATTCAGAGCCAATTGATTTTCTCCACACACTATGTGATGCAGGAAAACTCAAAGAAACATAGAAAAATCAGCAAGAAGCACCTTGACACAAGCAATTTTGGAGAAACCCTAAGGCTTTCTCCCACCTAAGGGTCAAGCCTTAGGCTTCTTTTACAAGACAAAATCTTTCTTTTCTTAAAGAGGAATACATGAATAACTCTCCAGCCCATCAATGCCCTAATTTAAATTGAAAATTTATTGTTTTCGACAATACTTGTTCATACAATTAACTTTTAACCAAAAGGTCCTAACTTAAGTATGAATTTCATAACGATAGTTTTACCCCTGTGAATAGTACCCATGAACAGTATTCATGAATAAACTTTTCTCATGAAATAAATAAAAATATTATAAAAACCCTAGAATCCCTAAAAAAAACTAAAAATCCTAAAAATAAGCCCTAAAAGCAAACTATAATATACATCCATTAAAGTTGAACAAAAATAAAGAATAAGAATATTTTTTCCCTCCTCTATCATTCTCCTTTGGTTGGAGAAAATGTATCCTCGAGTTTTGAAGTGCGCCAAAATGAAATTGACGTTAACTCGACAACATTCTTCAACTCGAATATTGTAAACATGAACCTGGGACTTACGGGTTACAACACTGATAAAAACACGAAGATTATGCATTGAAACTAAGAAACCCTCGAGGAAAGGTCACTGTATGTCGATAGAATATTTTTAATCACATAAACTTGTTGAAATTGTATCACTTCAGCCATGTAACCCGTAACCCTGCTGAATTTGCTCAGGCTCAGCTCTAGGACATACCACGAGTGCATCTTTGATATCAGCGATTAAACCAACAACTTCACCCTCTTCCAAAATATCTTCACCATCATCGTGATCCTTATCAAAGATCGGATCTCCTAAACGATCTTGTTGTTCATCTGAGTATATATCGAAGATTGGTGGTGAATCCCAGTCTACAACTTACTGATTTTTTATGCAATATGTGTCAAAAAAACATATCATCCTTTAAATTGAAAATCCTAGAGTGATGAACCGTCTAGGTATCTAGTCGTTGTCCTCATCACTCGACTCCACACGCGGAGAGTAAAAGTGAAAAGGATTGTACTCAAGATTCTCTTGGGCTAAAAGATCATTGTTTTGCCCCTTATTGAGGCTCGCGAACTACCACACTAGCTACTGTACTTACCTCTCAAGTTCCTCAATTCTGTCATCTATGGGATCACAGAGTGGATCTACGAAAATCCGCATTTTAAGACCCCTTTTTACGGCCATTGGTTTGCCGAAATCACAAATCCTAGGCAAATAATCAACGAAAATTGCTGAAATCCCAAAACAACATATATGTTGTTTTGGGAAAACCTTAGCCAATATCAACAAACCCTAGACCCCACTATAACTTTCCCTCTTTGTTGTTGACCTAGGGCACCAAAGAAAGTGGTTCTACAGTAACTCCATATGTGTATTGCTACGGTAACTTCCATACTTACTATAATAACTTCTATGAAGATCATGGGCTCTGATACTTGATGCAGAAAAACTCGAAGAAACACAGAAAAATCAGCAAGCAGCACCCTGACATCAGCAATTTTAGATAAACATGACTCTCCGACCCATCCATGCCCTTATTTATATTGAAAAATTATTATTTTGGACAATATTTATCCATACAATTAGCTATTGACCAAAAGGTCCTAACTTAAGTATAAATTTCATAATGACAGACTTGTGAATAGTACTAATGAAATAAATAAACAAACTATAAAAACCCTAAAATCCCTAAAAACAACTAAAAACCCTAGAAATAAGCCCTAAAAACAAACTATAACATACATCCTTTAAAGTTGAACAAAATTAAAGAATCAGAACATTTTTTCCCTCCATCACCATGGCATTCAGCTTCTTTGGAAACACGAGGATGGCTGCACAAGAGTTGCGAGGAAGTGACCATGTGAGAGGATGTCGCGGTCGAGACACCGGAGTTAGACCCATGATGGCAGCTTTGGAGCCTATTCTTCAGAGATTTGACACAGTGGCTTCCGAGGTGCGCCAGTTCAGAGACATCACCCAGAATTGTGCCAACAAAGGGGTGAGCAAAGGTGATCACTTGCGTCCCCAATGTTTAAGATGTAGACCAAATCTGAATTCAGAGGATGCTTCAGATAGAGATAGTTTGGGATCATATAGGTTACTGGCAAGACACCCTATACCATTTGAGGATCGGTAGGTTCAAGCACTTGAAGGCTCTGAACAAAGTATTAGGGTTGATGTTCCTGATTTTAGCGGGAGACTACAGTCAAATGACTTCCTTGACTGGCTTGAAAGTGTCAAAACAAATTTTTCCAATAGAATGATATGGCATAGCATAAAAAGATTATTGGTACTAGGTTAAAAGGTCATGTTTTGTTGTGATGGCATCAAATATAAGTTAATCACACAAGAAAAGAAAAGTAAATGGCCATGAAGTAGGGAGAAGTTGAAAAGGCATTTAAAGGGAAAATTTCTTCCACAACTTTATGCAAGATTTACCAACACTCCATCGATTACAATATGATTTATTGGTACTAGGTTCAAAGGTCGTGCTTTGTCGTCATGCCATCAAATACAAGTTGATCACACAAGAAAAGGAAAGTAAAAGGCCCTGAAGTAGGGAGACGATGAAAAGGCATTTAAAAGGAAAATTTCTTCAACAAATTTTATGCAAGATCTTTACCAACACTCCATCGATTACGGCGGAAAGATGGTGCAATACAGGATTATATGGAAGCCTTCTATCAGTTATTGAATCGGAATGATATTCGTGAAAAGTACTTGTGAATAGTACTATTGAAATAAATAAGAAAACTATAAAAACTCTAGAATCCCTAAAAATAACTAAAAACCCTACAAATAAGCCCTAAGAACAAACTATAACATACATCCTTTAAAGTTGAACAAAATTAAAGAATAAGAACATTTTTTCCCTCCATCACCATGGCATTCAGTTTCTTCGGAAACACGAGGATGGCTGCACAAGAGTTGGAAGGAAGTGACCATGTGATAGGATGTCGCGGTTGAGACACCGGAGTTAGACCCATGATGGCAGCTTTGGAGGCTATTCTTCAGAGATTTGACACAGTGGCTTCCAAGGTGCGCCAGTTCAGAGACATCACCCAGAATTGTGCCAACAAAGGGGCGAGCAAAGGTGATCACTTGCGTCCCCAATGTTTAATATGTAGACCAAATCTGAATTCAGAGGATGCTTCAGACAGAGATAGTCTGGGATCATATAGGTTACTGGCAAGACACCCTATACCATTTGAGCATCGGTAGGTTCAAGCACTTGAAGGCTCTGAACAAAGTATTAGCGTTGATGTTCCTGATTTTAGCGGGAGATTACGGTCAAATGACTGGCTTGAAAGTGTCAAAAAAAAATTTTCCAATGGAATGATATGGCAGAGCATAAAAAGATTATTGGTACTAGGTTAAAAGGTCATGCTTTGTTGTGATGGCATCAAATATAAGTTAATCACACAAGAAAAGAAAAGTAAAAGGCCCTGAAGTAGGGAGAAGTCGAAAAGGCATTTGAAGGGAAAATTTCTTCCACAATTTTATGCAAGATCTTTACCAACACTCCATCGATTACAATATGATTTATTGGTACTAGGTTCAAAGGTCATGCTTTGTCGTCATGCCATCAAATACAAGTTGATCACACAAGAAAAGGAAAGTAAAAGGCTCTGAAGTAGGGAGACGATGAAAAGGCATTTGAAAGGAAAATTTCTTCCAGAAATTTTATGCAAGATCTTTACCAACACTCCATCGATTACGGCGGAAACATGGTGCCATACAGGATTATATGGAAGCCTTCTATCAGTTATTGAATCGGAATGATATTCGAGAGACGGCTAACAAGCTGATTGCAAGATATACCAGTGGGCTACGTGTTGCAATATAAGATGAGTTGTCCCTGCATCAGATTTTTATTTTGGATCAAGCTTATTAACTCGCTTTGAAGACTGAGACCAAGATAACAGATCTGGGGCCCAAGTGCTTGTAAATAAGCAAGTAGCCACAACAAAGTCCAAAGAGGTATTGAGGTCAAGGTGTAACCAGTCCCATGGTGTGGAAGGGGGTCGATTTAAGGACCAAACCGACCAATGCAGGACTAGTACAACAGTCCCCAAACAACGGTAAATCAGGAACATGGTTCAAGCGTGGTGAGCTGGGACATAGGTCTTATGATTGCCAGAAGCGCCAAGCTGGCATCCACTAGCAAGAGAAATCTACTGAAAGTAAGTACTGAAAGTAATGGGGAGAAAAACGTGCACACCGATGAAGGGAGTGATGCTGATATCGAGGGAGGTGAAGAAAACACATACCCCAATGACAGCAAGCTCTTAGTGATTCAACCTACACTAGCTACACCCAAGGTTGTTCACAAGCCATGGCTGTGCCTAATATTTTTCGCACAAGATGCACATAGCATATGCCAAAACACTAGGGACGTTATGCAGGCACCCAATCTATATTTCAAAGACGTTTGGCTTCATGGTGTTCCAAAAACTGCACGTTTTATAAGCCACTTATGGAGGACAAAACTGTAGTTCAGCAGTGTATACCATCCTCAAATAGATGGTCAAATAGAGGGAATTAACAGGAGTTTGGGCAATCTTTTACGCTGTTTCACAAAGAGAACGACCACAATAGAGGGATTTGTTCTTCTCATGCTCAGTTTTTGTATAACAATGCTAAAAATAGAACCACGAGGAGATAACCTTTTGAAGTAGTTTACGGCAGGGACACAAAAAAGTATGAGATCTGGTGAATTTGCCTGATATGGAGCGAGTTAGCAATTATGCAAAGGCTTAAGAGGAATACTGTAACAATCCTAAAATTTTAAAAAAAAAAAAACGGAGAAAATATGCTTTTAAATAGGTGATGTTCTGTTTGAATATGATGGTCCTTGAGGACCATCACTATTTTCAAAAGATTTGCCTTTGCCTTTTTTCTTTTGCCTGCTTTTGCCTCCTGCTGCTTGCAGCCGGCAACGTCCTTTAGCGGACGTGGTTTTCGTACGATAAAAGTCTGCTTTTAACGCGACACCTCAAGCATGAGGTAGAGCGTAATAAAACAATATAATAATACGTTATTTAAATAGGGGATGTGAGCACTCCCACCCTAAAACAAATTTTTGAGATCTCTCTCTCTGGTCGAAACATAGTGAACTTCTCTCTCGAACCGAAATTTTTTATCGGAAGCTCCCTCTCAAATAATTGTGGGTAAGTGACATCGTCTTTCTGAAAAATAGTCTATTTTTAATAAATAGTGATATTTCCGTCTAGGAGCTTTATTTTATCAGTTTTATGTGTAAGTGACCTCATTGTCTCGAAAAATAATCCATTCTTTTTAAAAATAAAATGAAATAATTATTTCTGCTTATTATCATGAATTTTAGAGGCTATAAATTTTATGCGCACGTGACCTCATTATCTTGAAAAATAATCTTTTTAATAAACATTGTGATATTTTATCTATGTTAGAAATTTT